AAATGTTTGCAATCATTTTGAACTCAGTTAAAAACTTAATAATGCACAAAACTCTATAGCGAAGTACTTATTAATTTATTAAAAAATAACTGAATAATGAAGATCATTTTATTCAAGTGGTGATCCGGAAAAACCTAGATAAATCAAATTTTTCAAGAGAACACAATTTACAGATTTGAAATATTTATCATTTCCAAATATTCTTTCATCACTATTAATGAAAAATTTAATTTAAAATAATTGTTCAATATTATAAAGACAAGCTTTTAAATGGATTTAGTTTCAGAACATGAATGAGAATCAGATCTAAAAACTTTAAAAACTCGACTGGAGAGAAACATTGGATTCTTCATAAATTAGTCATTTAATATAATTTGAAATCATATTAATTATAATCCCTATTTTCTTTTATACTTGGGACTTTCTAATTTTTTTGATCAATAAACCATTAATAACACCTGATATAATCCATTTCCATGTGCTTTAACTACGATGTATCATAGTTGCTTGAAAAAAATTTAAAATATTTCATTACAAAGTGATCATTGCATTTCCAAAACATCAATGTTTCTTTATTGCAAGGGATAATTAAGTTTCAAGCACATCTGACACGAAAACAGGAGACTCACCTATTTTAATAAAACTAAGCGTAAACAACTATTAAACGTATAATCTTTTCTTATAACCAATCAGTGATAATTACTTCTTAAAGATGAAAACAGTATTTAATATAATCAATGTAGTTAGTTTAAAGAAATACCAAAACAATTTACTAGGTAGCTGTAACAAACTCAATCTAAAAGTAGAAAATTCAAAATGACATCTCAAACAAGGTAACTAAAAATACATTCACTATATCCATTATTGAGTATATGGAAGCATATATTAAATTTTAAAGTTAATAAAAAAAAGTAAGGAAAAAATTTATCTAAGCAATATAATTTAATAACCCCAGGTACGAATAGAACAAAAAACAATTATATATGACTTATTTAGATAAGATTTTTTTTTCTAAATTAATAATAAATATTTCTTCAAGAACAGAGTTTACTCAAAGATGACATGTGTCCCACATTATTCATTCAAATCTTTTTATAGAGTAATCTACATCAAATAATTTTGAAAATGTACATAGATTTCGATTAATGTAAATTCTGCTAGATTGGAACACTGAATTTTATATTTTAAACATAATAGATTTAAAGTCATTGACAGCCTCACAAAAAAGTACATAATTATTCTATTATTCAATTCAAAATTTTATTAATGTTCAAAGCATCCCAAAATGTTGAAGATAGTGATATAATATCAATAAAGAGGGTTGAATAGAAAGGGACATGATTCACTCTACAAGAAATATGAAAGATATAGTTCATAACTTGCTTGAATGTGATGTTTTTAAACTTCTGTTTCCAAAAACGGTATTAATGCATATGTTAAAATTAACTATGGCAAATACCTGAGTGCGTCAAGTTTAGAATAAAACAGAATGTTAATCAATGCTGTTGAGAATAAAGTTGAAAATCATATAAAACTAGCAATTTTTTATGGACACTATATATGTTTGACCACAATTTTATGCTTTTAGTAAAGTTTAGTAATTTATTCTAATATCTAAATTTCGTATTATTTTTATAGGTTTTAACTCATTTGATGGTAAGCATAACTTTTATTTTAGACTTTCACTCTTCCAGCCTTAACCTTCGCTATAATATACTTTTTTTTCTTAATTCAACAAAATGAAACAATAATATCAAATACGAAATATAATACTTTTTACTTTCACTTACCTATATATGAAATATATAGTAAGGGACAGTATTGCGTCTGAAAGTTTTTGAATCTGAGTTTTCAACGGAAATACATGTTTTGAGGTCTCCTAACCACATCACGAAAAATGGTATGTGTGAGTGTGTATGTATGTGACCACCTAGCTCAAAAACAAAAACGCGTACGAAAGTGAAATTTCATATTTAAGGTTTATATATACCTCAGATGTTACAGCAACTTTTTCATCAAAATATTTCATGGATGTATAAAGCATACGTTTATAACCTTAAATACATTTGTTGTAGTTTGATAATTCTAGATCTGATATATTTAAATAACTAGGTATCAACGTCCGTTAATTTCGAAAATCGTCATTTAATCTTTTAGAATATTAAATTAGTAAATAGGTTGACAAGTTTTCCTTTAATTCACTTAAAATTAGTGTGACAGACATGAAAATCTCGCGATTTCAGTTTCGTAAACATTACAATGGAAAATAAGTTTAATAACTAACAGTCCTTTCCTTCAGACCATAATCATTTATAAGGTGAATATACAGATATACTTTCAAATATCTCTACTCTAGACATACATACATAGCTCAGAGACTGGAGTTGTGTGGTTTATAAAACAGATGGAGTAATGAGGTTTATATTGCCTACCATCACAGGCAGATCTACGGGAAGAGGGCATTCGGGCCGAAGCTATTCCCAAAATAGTGAAACGTAACCAAATTATGTCGAAAAAAAAAAAATATTAAAAAATTATCTTTTAAAATATTATTGTTCGTGTAATTACATTTAACAGAATCACTTAAACAGCATTTCATATAGGTAGTTATTATCTTTCTTTTTTATTTTCCCTAAAGTAATTATCATTATATATATGAAATGTATGAAAAAAAAACTTTTCAGGCTGAAGCTCCCACAAAATTAAATCCTGGATCCGCTAGTGCCTACTGTTGATATAATTATTAGGGTTTTTGTTATTTTAATGGTTATTAATGATTTGTTAGCTGTAAGCTTCAAGCTGTAGCTCCATTAAAAATGTACTTAAAAAATTTGATAATAGCCCAGAAAATAATTTCTAATCAAAGTAGAGTGGTAAGTAAAAGTTTTGTGTTGCACGAAACAAATTTTTTTAAATTTTATTGCTTTGAGCTTTTATTACGTTTTGGTCAATTATTCGTATCTTTAGCGAAAAATCAGTGTCCAATTACGAGTAGCTCCATTTAAATAATACTATATAAATGTATCGTATCAACCTGAGAATATTCAACGATCAAAATTTGATATAATCAAACTGAACCTCAAAAAACATTCATTAATAAACCAGAGTTAATAAAACAACGATGAATATGATTGTCAATGCTATTTAAATGTGATAAAAATTATTTATTATAACAGAAACCAACATTTTTTAGCTATTGTCAAATCTAGCAGTTGTTACTTAAACATGTTAAATTTTTTTTTACTTTAAATATTCAATAACATCCATGGTTTTTAGTACATTGATTATACATGAAAAACCTGAAGCATACACTTGAAATGAAAGTAAATCATATTTTAACATTACACAAATAGTTTTTGAAGTTCAGCATAATTAAAATAACACTAGTTGCTTTATCCAATAAAATATTCTTTAAATTAATTCCCCCTTCACCTACAAAAAGACACATTTCTTATCAAAGTTAAGCAATAGGAGAACATATTAAATTATAATTTCATAAGAAATCATTATATTTCACATAATCTTAATTAATTTCATAACATACATTAAAATAATTTAAAAATCACAGTGGAGAATCATAACACATAAAAATTTTAAATCACGAATTACCTAGGAAAACTGGAATAAATAAATGGAAAGATAATAAGTAAATTAATCAATCTTTTATTTTTATATCATATCAAAAGTGAAAAATGGACGGTCAAAAAAATTAAAAACACTTCAAGAACAGAAAAACTAATATTTATTTACCATTCACATCGATAACTGAAATTTAGTCAAATTTTGAGTGGCTCATAATGTCATTATTAATTTTACCCTAAATGGCAATAAAAAAAATTTGGAACAATATTAGATTCTTAAATTATCCAGCAAGAATGATTTTTCTTTATTTAAATCTTTTAAATTAACAAAAAAATTAGTTCAGAATCAGTCACTGAAACAGAAGTAGTAATAGTGACTTAATTTTTACTCCAATGATATTTTTCCCTTAACTACACACAAAATAAATGACATAGTTTATTACAAAAGTATATAAAAGCCAATCTAAATGTAACAATCTTAAAAATTAGCAACAGAATTATATGCCATCAAGGGTATTAAATATATACATACAAAAAAATAAATAAATAACAAAAACATAAATTCTTTATTAAATAAAGGTTATAAGAAATAAATTTATAAAATCGGATAAGCATTTCAATGAGCAAAACATAAAATTGGCATGTATATGAGTCAAATATGGGTATATCAATTTAATTCGTACAGACCCACAAAATAATTTCAACCTCTTATCCTAATTCAGGGCAAACTACTTAGTTAATAAAAAATCATAAATAATAACTACCAGCAGTTTTATATTTGTATTAATACAAAAATCCAATTCACACATATAAAATTCATTCAAATAATCCCTATAAAGTTCAATACACTTTTTCTTGAATTGAATTTAAAATTCAATGCATCTTGAATGTATTGGATTTGGAATTAATGAAATTCAATGATCTGATGGAATAAGTATCATATTGCTATTGCAATAGATATTGGATTTTTTAATTGAAAGCCTTAATTTTCTGTACAAGGGACCAGTGGAAGCTACTGGCAGATTCAAGAGAGGAGGCTTTAGGGCTAAAGTCTACGTCCCTTACACCATATTTTGGATTTACCCTATGAAGGGTCTTGGGTTCAGTACTTTGTAAATAAATTCAAATTTAAATTAAGTTGCAAAGCCAATGATTGTGCTGAGAGGTGATTGGGTCGAGATCATGCTCAACTCTCTCATATTATTAATGTGCTCGTATTGTATTATAGGCCTGTCTTTTAAGTCTGTAAAAATGGTTTAGTTAATTTCAAGCAGACTAACCTTGTTAAGAGGAAAGATAATCTAGAGAAGGTTAGTTGGGGTGTTCAGTCAAAAAGGAAGGCAAAAATAAATTATAATATTTATTTTTTACATATACCGAGGTTTCGACCTGAAGTTCAGGCCTTCATCTGGAGGAATGGAGAATTCTCCCTTTGACACTTAAGGAGAAAGCCCTGATGAAGGCCTGAACTTCAGGTCGAAATGTCGGCATATGTAAAAAATAAATATTATAATTTATTTTTGCCTTCCTTTTTGACTGAACACCCCAACTAATCTTCTCTTCATTATCCACGACAGTCAACCAATTACCAATTATGAAAGATAATCTAATTCTTCGGATGCCAAGGGATTTTTTAATTTAAAAAATAATTTAACTTGCTTACGGACAAAGGAAAACTGTTTCTATTGTGGAGAACAAAGAAAAAATGGTTGCTCTTGTGATGAGACAATTGTGTATATAGGTTAGCTTGCCAGTTTTTTTTAATGAAAATAGTGTTATATGTAAATAGTTTTAATTTTCTGAGAGTTTGATCTAGTTGACAGATAATCCATGCCGTTAGATAAAATCATTGTAATTTCATCTTAATATATCAAATGTTTTAAATTGTGTTTTCTTTAATAGCCTTATTATTTGGTTTGGGGAGTTTCACTCCAATATTGAAGTGATCTTCCAGCATAATTATCACAGATTATATATATATGTATATATATGTATATATATATATATATACACACACACACACACACACAAAGTGTGTATCCATGAACCTTAAACCCTCTCTGATGATACATAAACATGTTTCAAATATCGTAACGATATTATTGAAACAATGATGTTATGAGAATGTTAAGATAAAAGAGGATATTGATTTTATGATGAGAAAATAATACAGATATTTGCTACTTTTTACAATCTAGTTGTAATTTCAAAACACTACCCAACATCAAAATTTAAAAAATTTGCTCCCAACAAAATTAGTATAAATAGACCTTGAAATAATGACAACAAACAAAAACTTGCTTGATCTACTAGATCACTGTGTTGCATTTTGCAATCTGCATATTAGAGGGATAATAGCATGTATATCCAAATAATGATCTTAAAATATATCATAGGAATCATTTAGAGAAAAATATTTTTGCGGAATAAAAATATGATTAAAATAAATTAGACAGTTCTAAAGACATTTATTAACAGATCTACAAAATTACTTTTTAAAACTCTTTTTTTTATTTCACACACAAATATTTAAGTTAAAAAAAACATATATCATCGGTGGATAGAAAAAAATAACTAACAATTTAATTCATATCAAATTATTAACGATTAGGTGCTATCACCAATATTCACTAAAGGAAGAAGGATTGGGAGCAATATAACACAAGAAAGAGTTATATTAACCAAGAGTAATATAGCACAAAAATTATAATATATTTAAATTAATATAAGTTTACTAGCATATAGGGAAATTATTTTGTATATAGAAAGTGCTATTGACCTAATAAAGAACATAGATGTCGCTATAAAAATGAAAATATTAAATAAAAATTGTGCTATCACAATATTAAATAAATATTGTTTCCTCAATAAACATAAAAGAAAGTTGAAAAAAAGAAACCAAACAAATTTAAAGATTTTATTGTTCATCAAACAAAGTAATATTAGGTTTAGGTAAAATAAAATTACCACATAAAATAATTAAGTAAGTCTTAAGGAGATCAATAAAAAGTATTAAACTACCACAACCGCATTTCTTCACCACCTCATAAGTGGACTTATTATATAATGACACACCTGAAAATCATTTACACAAAAATCTATTGTAATAAAACCTATAAATTAATTTGAAAGGTAGAAAAATACTACATATCCAGCTTATGATCCAATAAATTGGCTCCTGTCATTTTGAATTAAGTATTACCAATTTAATGTAATAACAAAAATCTAGAAAGAGAAATGGAGATATATAGTAAAAGTTTCATTCAAATTCTAAATTAATAGAATTTTTCTAAAAAAGAAAAAATTAAATTTGGAAAATTAGTGAAAAATGAATAATTGAAAAAAGAACCAAGCTCATGAACACAATCACACTGTAACAACTGTAAAAAAAAAGTTTCTCACTTTTCTTATTAGTATAAATTAAAAAAAAAAAAAAAATTGCCAGTTGTTACAGCAATAAAGAAGAAAGAATTCAATAATTTTCTAATATGGCATATTTATTATTATCACATACCATGTTCTTATGACTCAGCCTTTTTCCTCATTTTTACTTTGGATGGTGGTGCATTTGGATTGACACCTTTATAAAATTCCTTAAGAAGTGACATGGCTCGTTCAGCAAACAGGCCACCAACAACAGGAACAGGCTTAGAATGATAATCCGACACATTAACAACTGAACCACAACCACCAAACCTATCATTAGCGCAACCGTAAACAATTCGGCACACACCGAGATCATGGAGAGCACCCGCACACATCGCACATGGCTCAACGGTGACATAAACACTGACCGTAGAAAACGGAACGTGTTTAGACAAAACTTGATCAATACATAGCATTTCGGCGTGCCTTGTAGCATTCTTCGTCTCATTAACAGCATTCGACCCTTCAGCAATAACATCTGAACCTGACACGAAAAGACAGCCAACAGGTACCTCTCCATTTTCAAGAGCAGTTTGTGCCGACTGTAAGGCTTTTTCCATCCACTGAGAATCCTGAAAAAAAAAAATTAAGTATTGTTAGTAAATAATAAAACCAGTAGTAAAAATTCTACAGTACTAAATAAATCATAAACACAATAGATGGGTTACTTTCATTGTTTTTACCACAAAAAATTATCAATGATTTATATAACATAATGGCAGAGAAGGATAATCCTCTGTATTGATATTGCAGTAAAATATATTAAACAGGGTATTAGTCAATGTGACCTAAAAACAAAACATTAAGTATTTGGTTTATAGTTAATGCTAACATTTTAATTAAACTAAAAGGACCACCTTCACTTCAAGTGGAAAAATAAGTGAAGTGAATAAATAAGTGAAATAAGTGAATAAATAAGTGAATAAACTCTATGTTGCTTATTAATTTTCAACACATTGGTTTGCCCTGAAGAAAGGCCACACGGTTAGATTAGAACATGATTGCCAACAAAAAGAATAAGAAATCATTACTTGGCTTTTTCTTTATCATTTTTACGTTGCATTGGCTGATACTCGAATTAATACATAGATGACTTAACTGCAAAAGCCTTCAAGTACATAAATTAAAATTATTCATAAGACAAAATAAACGGCTTATGAATTAGTTTTCCATTTAATTATTGCTGGAAGCTCAAGTTAAAGGATTACTATTTCAAATAAAGTTTTGGGTTTATATTTCTGAGCATGTGAAAAACCAGAAAAGCTAATAACTGCAGTCTCTAATAACATTGTACCTACATGCTCATGAATGAGTGGATGTTCATATAATCTTACATAACTTATTTTTTTTTAATTAATTTTCGATATCACATTGTTTATTGAGTCTTCTAAGCTAAGTATGCCTAATTCAAATCCTTTTGAATTACAGCATTAAATTTCTTCTCGGAAGAAAATTAATTAAAGAGTTTTTTTAATAGCTAAATCTGTGGCTCAACAGATATCCAAGATAAAAACAACACAAAGAAAATAAAGCAACAAAGTAAGAAAGTACATAATTGACAATAAAATTTGAAAGAAATATTAGTTTTAGCATCAATTTTCTAATAGCAGCAGAGGATTTATTAAGTTAGATGTTAGATTAATGTTCATCTATTTCTTTAAAATAAATTTAAGATAATCATAGAGATGCCTGTTTCTTAATCTTATGATAAACTTGGGAGATGGTGAGAGTCAGGCCTTACTCTAAATAACAAAACTAATAAAATACTTAAAAATTAAAATTGCATACAATATCTGTAATATCTTCCATGATCAATCGCAGAAGTATTTCAGTAGATCCAGCTCCAATATGATCTGCTTGGTTTTTGAAAGCCAATTTTTGTTACTAGCAGGATTCCTGGGACTTGGGTGGGAAATAGTGACCACCTGAAATTTTTTAAATAAAAATAGTAAGTTATTAAGATACAAAATATAAACAAAACAAATAAAAATCAATAATAATATCAGAGACCAATAAAGTAATATATAAACATGTTTCTAATGATATTAAAGTAAGAACTTTCCAAGAACTAAATATTGTAACTAAAGGTTCCCTTTTAATATAATTTTGCAACTAGATTCATAATTATGTACAGAATGATTTTTTTTTCAGGCTCTTTTTTATTATTATAAAATTAAATGCCCTTTTCAAAAGTTGGTAAATAAATGTTGAGTTGCTGACTGCATACTTAACTGTATGTTAGATTAGGTTGTGCTTTGACTGAGATCATGTTCAATTGTCAAGTTTTCATCCATGATTAATTATTTAATTAAGAGTAACAACTGTATGGAGCCTGGGTGTGCCCCAGAGGGTCTCCAGACCCCAGGGTCGCCCCATGACTGATGAAACAGAATAACTAATTTTTCTGCCATGAGCTGGGATTCGAATCTGAGACCTTGAGCATATACCAATATGGTGCCCTACAACTGAGCAACCCCACTCCCTTTGCCTAAGATAAAATAAAATAATTTCCAACTATTAAAATAGATTAATTAAGAATAATCAATGGAAACTCTATGACGGAGCTTTATTTTAGAAATTAGTTTGCTAATTTGATTAAGTTATTTACTTTATGATGAAATATTGTCAATAATTTTCTTGATATTCAAAAACATTGATACATAAAATCTTTTTGGGCTATATTATCTAGCTGTTAACATAAATAATATAGATAAAAATGAATATAAATGGAAGGGGATTATATTTTACGAAGAAGTATATTATTTATTTGGTGTACCTATCACCAAATAATAACTGATTCAAATAGCGTAGTTCAAAATTGGTGAAATCATACATTGGGAAAATTTTATTTTTAATTAAGCAGATTTATTGGTCCTAATTGCAAAAACAATCGTTAAAATTCCATGTTCATATTTTCTATACATCACCAAAATCAATAGCAGCCAAAAGCTTCACAACCAAATTGAACATTTCACTGACCAAATTAATATCTCCCTTGACATAGAGGTAAAAAAAAAAAAAAAAAATAATGTATACACCCTTTGCTAACTCTACCAAATGAATTCGATATGATCCAACTAATTCAATAATAGTCAGTGATAAAAAAGACGATTAAACATTTATAGTACACTGCAAACCATTAGTATTCTAAAAAAAAAACATTTACTCTACATATTTCTCTTCTCTATACAATTTTATATCCAATAAAAAAATTTTAGATTAAAATAAATTTAGTTGATTGAAAAGAATAATTTGTCATCCATATTTCAAAATGATAATTAAAAAAAATAATATAAATTCTAATTTTTAAGTAACTATATCCTCCACTATTGATAGGGGAACCAAACAAAACAACTCATTAAATTTAGTTATAAGTTAAAAAAAACTACTTAATTTCATACATCGATGTGAAATATGGTCACAATCTAATTAATCTGAGTTACAATATCAATTTAATTAAAGCTATAAATTAAATTTTCTTTAGCTGATAAAGTACCTCAATATTTTGCAGACCAAAATTCTTAATAACAGCTTTGGCTCTTTTTTCAGCAAACCTTCCAATGGCTATTACAATACTCACACTGAATAATTTCATTACATCATTTAGAGATTCATCACAATGCATTTCTATTGCCTTTCTGGCCTCAATCTAATAAAATCAAATAAATAAATACTTAATAACAAAGCTATATGTGAACCTAACTTCTAAATGAGTTATAAAATACCTTTAATTCAGGAGGAGTAACATTTTTTCCCTTTTCATTAAGAAAACATAATGGGAAGTAGTTATGCACAAAAGCATTATGGAAAAAGTTATTGGCTTCACCAGCTCCAAGCAAGCTAGCAAGAGCCCAAAATCTTTTGCCACTAATTTCAGAACGTTTACAATTTAAACCTAAAACTGGGCGTGATGGATGTTCTCTCAATGGTCTCAAGATATTTCCTGAGATATTTAGAAATTCTTTGACTGAATTAACATCTCCAAATGGAACCTAAAAGGGGACATGCATGGTTCAAGAATTTGATTCAAGGGCAGTCATAATTATTTGCAGGAAAAAAATTTACCCCATTCTGCATCATTCCCCATGGGCCAGGGTTCATCCCTAAAAATACTATTTTTTTTGGCATTGAACAATATTTTTCTACATAAGCTTTATGTAATTCAAATGCATAATCTAAAGGGTTATAAATGTAATCAACCTTAGAACCGAAATCAATCTGCATTAATGTTTTTGATAATTTCAGTTCAAGATCAAGATATTGATCACATATTTTCGAATAACTTTTCAACTCCATCACAGTAAAATGTATAGGTATCCACGAAAATTTCCAGTGCAATACAAGTTTTAAAAATTAGCTTTTATTTAAAATAAATTTCACAATTATTAATAACTCACAATCACAAAATAAAATAGTGTAATTCAACACATAACCTCTTCAACCAAAGAATAGACGCCACGTCATACCTCACGAAAATAATTGCTACCTAATATCGATTTTGTAATTTGTATTCATAACTATATTAAAAGTCTTTTACAGTTTACTATTAAGAACAATTTTTTTTACATGTTTAATTCAGTAATATGAAATACATTATTTTCTATTTTCTTTTTAAGTAAAATACTGCGAAAAATATTTAAAGAAACTAAGGGGAGGAGGGGATGACTAAATTATATTATCTGGTGCAGGTGCTGTTTTATGTGGTGTGCTGTGCTGGTGCCAGTCATAACACAAACAATTATCTTATTAAACTAAGAGCGACATTATTGCTATACCAAACGATTTATTGTATTTCTCTTGATCAGCAAGATCCGACAGTAGATGGACAATATCAAAATCAAGAAACAAAGATACTAGCATAGTGAAATATGCACATATATATATTTATTTGTCCAATAGTTGGCCAAATGTCTAAACGCAACTTGATATTTCACATGTATTAATAAAGCCAATTTTACAATTTATGTAACGATCATTACTTTGGAAGAGAAAAATATAACTAACTATCTATACGAAATGGTGTTTAAATGATTCTTGAAGTCTTATTTAATGCATTACACGAACAATCATACTTTTAGAAATATAGTGATGATTTTTAGTATTTTTTGTTATAATACATGGTATGAAGTATCCAAAGCCTTCAAATTTCGAATGGGCTTACTGTAGGGAGATGGACTATCACCGATGTTGTTCAACTTAACCCTGGAGAAGGTGATAAGAACAACATCACAGGTAAATACAGGGTTCCACGTAGGAATGAATCATAAAATCTTTGGATATAACTGTCCTTGGAAGTAATGAAGAGGACATTGAGAAACTCGCTAAGATTCTGATAAGAGAGGCAGAGCACATCGGCCTACAAGTAAATGAAGACAAAACAAAATATTTGACTATTAGCTGAAAATTCCACGCGAATAACAGGATCTGCATATAAGGAAAATCATTTCCGAGAGAAGAAATATTTAAATACCTCGGCTCTACAGTAACCACAACGAATGACCAACGGTCAGAAATAGACCAGTGTATAACTAGAGCAAGCAGAGTTTTCTTCTTTTTCTTTCTCATTCTCTTTTTCAAAGATATTGAAAATCTCAACAAATTTTAAATTAAAGGTTTTATAATGCCAGGTATATAAAGCTAGTTCTAATACTTGGCTGTGAGGCCTGAAAACTAACCGGCGCTCTAAAAAAAGAAATCCTCTGCCCGATTACCAGAGCCATCTGGCTGGGGTCAGAGCACTAACACATGGAGAAGAAAGACCAGCAAAGAACTGCTTACAGAAACTGGTCAATCAATATCCCATAATTTGAAAGTGCGGAGGGCCATGTAGGTCGGAGCAATCAATCAGAAAGTCTTCGTAACCATGAAAGCATTAATGGAAGGGAAAAGACCACGTGGAAGGCCAAAAAGCAGATGGGACATAAAATCAACAAAGATGCAATAGAGCCGCGTGCAGCTAACTGGAAAGAAATAGCCCAAGACAGACAGTGACTGAGCAGGTTTATAAAGACGGCAAAACATCTACAAGGTCTGTAATGTCTACAGAAAAAAAAGACGTAATATTTTTTTTGGGGGGGGGATAGAAGGGGAGAGAAGGGGTTTTTCTCTCTCGTGGATCCACCTGTGGGTTCTTGTGTACAGGTTTTACAATATATTACCAAGTTTACTCACCATAAATTATGTAAAACTGATGATTACCATTATACATCTTTTAGGAAGCTGCAAGTTATTTTTTAACAAATATTGAGCTGTTCTTGGATGGCAACGGTAATATATGATCCGGTCATCATCTATGAATACAAACATATTTGTTACATGTTTTTGAAAATAAATATAAACTTAGCCCCTGGAATTCTTTTTATTTTATTATGAAAATAAACATATCTTCGTATACAAATCTGTGTTTTATATTAAACAGCTATTTATCAAGTTGTTATACAAATTTTATAAGATAAGATGGTAATCTTTTAATGACTTTTCTAGTTGTAATAAGAACATTTTACAACGATTAATAAATTGGTCAGTGGATAGGATATATCGATATTCGCTCTAGTTTTGAAGATTTTCCGCTTATCAAGAGGAACTAATTATTAGCAATTAATTACAACATTAAAAACTTATGTTTAAAAAGCACATGAAATGGATCGGCATTTATCTCAATTTTTGGTGACTCTCATTATTTCAGTTTATCTGTATAAACGACAAGAGCTTGACTCTCACTCAAAATTGCCACACAAGTCGGAGAGTGAACCTTATACATTCATAATTGTAGGTGCAGGGTCAGCAGGTATGTTGATATATTTCAATTCTAGTATTTGTTGTCTGCAATTAAAAAATAAATAAACACATGTTACAGGTTGTACTCTTGCAAACAGACTAACAGAAAATCCACACTGGAATGTTCTATTGATAGAAGCAGGTGGTAATGAGGATATCATATCTGACATTCCTCTCTTGTCTGACTTAAACTGGAATTCTGTTAAAGATTGGAACTACACAACAGTAAAACAACAAGATGCATGTTTAAGTAATGACATTTCATTTTTATGATTTTTTTAACTTCCCTTTAATTTATCATTTTTCATATCATATTCATTTTTCATCATTCATTGTATCATATTGATATTTATTAAAATATAAGAACTAATGATTTGTAAATATATCTTTATTTTTTCTTCTATTACTTTTTTCTGTCTATAATAATAATTAATGATTAAATTAAATTAATCATAATTACAAAGCATCAGTTGAATTATGTTTAATTTTATGAAACCACCGCGAGAGTGACAGTCAAAATTCAGTGTAAATATGTATAAATCTATTTTTTTAATAGATTTCTACATTCTGTTTAATTTTGATTCTTGGCCACCTGCTATATCACTGCAGCCAAATACTCTGCATATAGTATCTGAACTTTCAGAACTAATGATCATTTAACATCCTCAATACTTAAGGGGATGTAATATAATTTATACAATTCACAACTTACTGACTTAGCGAATAAAATCCAATCAACGTACGACTAATGGGTAAAAACATGAAAGTATCAGTGCTGTGGGTCAAAGGTCACAATAGAATCTCTGACAAAGAAAAAAACTGACCTTTTGGTGTAGTATATATGTCTACCAAATCATTAGTGCTTAGTAACTTTCTTTAAAAATCTATTATAATAAAGTAATTTGAGATAGGATAGATATTGGCAACTTTTGGCTTAAAGAAGACTGCTGCTCTAATACATACCTATATATGAGTGTATCCAGCAGAGAGAAAGAACTTAATGCATAAAAATGAGGAGAAATTAATTTAAGGGTCAGGAAATTAGTCTTTATTTCTTAATTAGTTTCTCTCACAATATTGAAATTATGTTAATCAACTATAGCTACAAATAATTTTTTTAAAGAGGTTGTTGTTTACGAGTATTACTACTTTATTTAACACTTTTCTATGTTAAAATGAAGTGACAGCTGCTCTACCATGCCTTATCTAGATAGGCCTCTACGTATCTATGTTCCTGTAAATCCTTAATGTTGTTGAAAAAAAAATGTATTTCCTTTGGTTTTCTCTTGATATGACAGCCTTAATTATGATGGATGAAGCATTGTTTTTAATCAACATTGAGGAGGAGTCCACTCAGTCCACCTGTGGTCTTTCCCCTCCTTGACTAGTCTCCTCATCCCTGGAAAGCAAAAGGGATCATTTTACTCGCCCTCAAGACAAAGCATTGGGAGGAACACAGATTTGAATAGCCTAAGTTTTGCCTCTCTACTTAATTCTTATTTGCCTATTGATAATTGTTTGAATCTCTAAAATCTTGTATATTCAACTTATTGTTTTGATTTTTATTATCTTCAATATGAACTATGCATTTGTCTGTTATAAATATAAATATAAATAATTTATTTATTCTTGTATAGTGTGGGACATAAGGCCTTTCCTCCTACCTTTCTGGATCCACCCTTCTATGTGAAAAAAAATTATTAAAAATACTCTATTTTATTATGTATTATTTATTAAAATACACCATTTGTTTATTAGAGATTCTCCTGTTTTTGGTGAACATAAAAAGTACCACCACTTATTCAAGTAACACCAACTATTAGTTGTTTCTAATAAACTATTAACTAAAGGATAGTCGGTGGGTGGGGTGGCCGAACGGGCTAACGTGTGTGCACAGCCCTCAGCACCTGATCTATGAGACAATGGATTTAAACATAGTTCCGAGTTGGTGCCCCGGTACTGGAGGAGTATTTTAAATCCTCGTCCACACCCGCTGGTCTGGGAAAACCCCGCATAGCTTAAAGGTGAGGAAGGGGATCAAAAAAAAAAAAAAAAAAAAAAAAATGATAGTCAACATGAAGAAACTCATTGTGTAAACCAACAGTTGTTTAAGACTTTTCTCCAGTTTGATCCAGTTGTGTTCTGTTTAATGATGGAAAGATATATTGAAAAGATCATATTGAACCAGTAGTTCACAATATCATCATGATAATGAGCGGTTAAGGGCACCGGCTTTTGAATTTCGCCGATGCAGCTGGCATCTCTCAGATTGTGATGTCCCGGGCTTTAACCAGATTCAGAGGAACCGGAAGTACCAATACAATACCTGTTAATGGATCTCAGAGCATTACGACACCAAGGGATGACAGACATAATGTTATTACTACAAGAAGCAGTATTACCATGTTTATGTATTACCATGATGTAAAATTCCTTTTGAAATCAGTGACAACATTATAAAAAGGATGCTCAATAGGTTCAGAGAGATAGGGCATAATAGAAGACATTATACAAACTAATAAATTTGATGAAATTCACAATCATAAAAACAGATCACAAAAACTTTTAATTTTATTTTTTTTAAAACACCTTTTATAAAATTTCCCAAAGACCAATACAATTTTATTTTTTTAAATATTCAATGCATTTTATAATAAAAGTTCTAGGGAAAATAAATCAGACATAACTAACAATATCCCTATTCATTTTTTAGCGGTGTAGATAGAGCTGGAACCAAAATGTCATTTACTCTTCATACGAAGAGTTGTATTGGTCATTGCTTGTTTGTACTTGATTCTTTCCTTCAAATGTTGAAATAGACAAATTAATTTTCCTTTTTGATCTACAGACCAGTATAGATATGAAAGAATAAAATAATTTATAATAACCAAAAAAATATTCTAATAAAACTAATCATTGGGTTATAATAAACTAATATGAGTATTTTTCATTTATTTGCCTGATTATTTACTCACCTCATCTCTATGAAGGGATTTTAACCATTATCGTTACATTACTATCTTGAAGAGAATCAGAGGAAAAAAATGTATTTTTATACTTTACTTTTTTATTTTTAATTTGAATATCTAAAATTGTACAAAATGGGGGAATGGCCCATGTATTCAGTAAAGAGTTTTTATATTTGTATTTTGGAAGGTAATGATAATTTTTTAATCATATTAGGATATTTATGTTTCACTTAATGTTTATAAGAATCATTTAGAATTATAGTGAAATGTACAAAATCCTAATCACTGTTTTTCGTGATTAGATTGAATACAGTTTTTATTTATATTACTTGACAAATTATTTCATCTGTCCTCAATAGACTGTTTTGTTTTCAGGCAGTAATGGATTATGCATCTTTCCTAGAGGTCATGTGATGGGAGGCTCAAGTACTATAAATGCCATGTTGTATGTTAGGGGAAACAAAGTTGATTATGATGTATGGTCCAAATTGGGAAACAATGGTTGGAGCTATGAAGATGTGCTGCCTTATTTTATGAAAGCTGAAAATAATACTGAGCCAACTTTGAAGGGTTCATTGTTCCATGGAACCAAAGGACCTTTAAATGTTCAGTATTCGAAATATTTTACACCTCTGAGAGAAGAATTCATTAAAGCTGGCACAGAAATAGGTTGGGATAAAGTAGATTACAATGGTCTAGAACAAAATGGAATTGGCTATGCACAACTCACAATCAATGATCATACTCGGGAGAGTACCTCGAAAGCATACTTAAATCCAATTGAAAATAGAAAAAATCTTCATATAATTAAACACTCCATTGTAACCAAGGTCATTTTTGAAAACAAACGAGCAAAAGGAATAGAATACTTTCATAATGGTACAATGTTCCAGGTAACTTCTGAAAAAGAAGTTATTTTATCGGCTGGTACCATAGATTCACCAAAAATTTTAATGCTGTCTGGTATTGGGCCTAGAAAGGAGCTAGAAAAACACAATATACATGTAATTTCTGATTTACCAGTTGGTGAAAATTTGCAAGATCATCCTATGGTAGATGTGTATTTCAAATTAAATAATGTCCAAACTTTCATAGAAGCTTTATGGAAAACTAATGACAGCATACTTCAATATGCTGAAAAGCACTCCGGCCCTCTCGCAGGGGTTGGTGCAGAAGCCACAGCTTTCTTTAATACTTATGATCAGTCCAAACCACCTAATTTTCAGGTTATGTTCCTCAGTTTTGTTCTTGGATCCAATAACAAAAGCATCATAAGGCTTCTTACTGGAAATATTGAACCAAAGAGTGTTGGTACCGTGAAATTGAAAAGCAATATTTTTCAAGACTCACCATTAATCGATCCCAAATTTTTAATCAATCCTATAGATAAAGAGGTTTTACAAAAAGGTTTAAAAAAAGTTTTTGACTACATGAGAACTCCAACTATGAAGAAGTATTCTCCTAAATTGTACACAAAATTCCAACCACTTTGTAAAGATAAAATAGATGATAGTTATATATCTTGTGCTATTTCTAATTATTCAGGATCTTTTTCCCATTCTGTTGGAACAGTAAAAATGGGAGCTGAAGATGATAAGACAGCAGTGCTAACTCCTCAGCTTAAAGTCAAAGGAATAGAAAACTTAAGGGTTATTGATGCATCAGTAATGCCATCAGTTCCAAGAGGGAATACGAATGCTCCTACAATAATGATTGCAGAAAAGGGTGCTGACATTATTAAACAATCCTACAGCTGATAAACATTATCTTAAAATCTATTTTAGTATATTTTGCTTATCTTATTACTTTATATATTTTTGGTTTTCTTTTATAATTTAAATTCTACCCAACAACAGATTTGTTAAACTGTAACTTACAAGAATTCCTTTTAACTGGTTTGGTTGTTCATAAAGTATCATAAGGAAGACATTATATGGAAGATCTTTGTAATATATGGTTGATTTATTAAAGAAAATTTAACTCTGTAATGGCACACATCAATGTAAGTAATTTATTGCTAAACCTTCATCGTTTCAACAACTACCATAGGGGTCTCCTTCCAATAGTCTGCGAACAAATCCAGTCTGGTCTGCCAAAGATTTTTAGATTACATTGTAAACTTTACAAATTATGGCATACGACATAATACGTTTGTAAACTTTAAAAAAAGGTAGAATTTTATCTTAGTGAATTTTGAATAAAAGTCACATTTTAAATAATATGAAAATTTGTTGAATATTTTAAAAATAAGATTGCTTGATGTATAAAAAAAAACTGATGTTTCAATTTTAAGAACTCATCATAAAATGTTTTTAAATTACTTTTATTTGAAATAAAGAAAAAAATATTATTATTATTATTTTTTTTTTTAAGATGTAGTGATATTTTTATTAACATCACCAGTCATGGCCTGCAGACTTAGTTTGACAATAGAGTCATCTGCCTAACAGTTTGAAGACTCCTGATTACCAATCCCAAAGTATTAATTTAGAGAATATTAACATCACCTTAATTTAACATTAAGTTAATATTAACATAATTTAGAGAATATTAACAAGAAGAACAAATAATGTTGATAATGTGTTATTGATCATATAAAGTTTATTATATAATCATATAATTGCGATACTCGTGTTTTTTGTACATGAATTGTCAAACATATTTTAGTGTGATTTTCAACCAATTTTTCTAGTTTAAAATAAGAATAGTTGGTGTGATTTTGCATAATTTTTACTATTTACATTTATTTTATTTATTTTTTTCTCCTGTTGGCATTACAGACCATGTAGATCTTTTAGAAATGCCTGCTCTATTTCTGCCTATCTTGGATTATTTCTTTCCAGTTATCTGCATGCTGCTCTATTGCATCTTTGTTGATTCTATATATCTATCTGCTTTTTTGTCTTCCACTTGGTCTTTTGCCTTCTATTGAGGCACTCATTGTTATGTAGACGCTTCCAGATAGATTGCTGCGAGCTAGATAGCCCGGCTGTCTTGCCTTTGTGCCTTCATATCATGGGATATTGATTGGCCAGTTTCTGTAAGCAGTTCTTTATTTATCTTTCTTCTACATGTGCTAGTACTCTGATCCCAGATGGCTCCAGTTATCATGAGGAAGATTTATCTCTCAAATATTTCATCACTTTTTTCTAGGGTGCTGGTCACTGTCCAGATCTCACAACCAAGTATTAGAACTGGTATTGTATACCCTTCATTTGAAATTTCTTGAGATTTTTTGGGATTTCAGTAGCTTTGAAAGTGAGAAGGAAGCTCTTTTTGCACTAGTTATATGCTGGTCTATTTCTGTCCATTGGACATTCATTGAGGTTATTGTGGAGCCAATTTGAATTTGTCTACTCTCGGGAACGATTTTCCTTCTTCCCAGATCCTGTTATTGGAGTGGAATCTTTGGCTAATTATCATATATTTTGTTTTGTCTTTGTTTACTTGTAGGCCAATCTGCTCTGCCTCACTTATCAGAGTCTTGTATAAAGTTCTCTTACCGGATTCTTTATATAAATATTTATCACCCATAATATGAAGTAATTAAATAATATAGAATACAGCAAATATTATGTTTTAAATTTGTTTTTTAATCATTATTTTTAACTTTGAAAAGAAAATGTACATACAATAAAAAAAATGGTTTTAAATTATGTTTGTTAAATTTCATGAATTAACATTTATTTCAAGAAGTTAATTAGAAATTTAAACATTCTTCCTAAAACAAGAACTCGAAAAACGATAGGAGGTAGCTCAGGATGTCCACACCATGTTTGTTGATTTCATAGCAGCCTATGATTCTGTGGACAGGAGCTGTCTTTGAAAAATCTTAACTGCACTGGGAGTTTCCGTTAAGTTGGTGAGATTGACAAAGGTGTGTACAAATGACCCCAAATGTAGAGTCCTAATACAAAGAGAAGTATCTGAAGCCTTTGATAAGAGAGGCAGAGCAGATCGGCCTAGAAATAAAAAAAGACAAAACAAAATATATGACAAAGAACTGAAAATGAAAATTCCACCCGAAAAACTGGATCTGCATAAAAGGAAAATCATTCGTGAGAGTAGAAAAAATCTAATACCTTGGCTCCACAATAACCATAATGAGTGACCAACTAGACCAAACAGAGTTTACTTCTTTTTTTCAAAGGTATTGAAAATCCCAAGAAATCTTAAATTAAGGGTGTACAATGCTATGATAAAGACAGTTCTAATACTTGGTTGTGCGACCTGGACCCTAACCAGCACTCTAGAAAATAGTATTGAAAGATTTAAGAGAAAAATTCTCTGCACGATTTCCAGAGCCATCTGGGTGGGATCAGAGTACTAACACATGGAGAAGAAAGATAAGTAAAGAACTGCTTAAAGAAACTGGTCAATCAATATCCCATAGTATGAAGGAACGGATGTTAACATAGGTGGGGCATGTAGGTCATAGAAATCCATCTGGAAGCATCTACTTAACAATGAATGCCTCAATGGAAGACAAAAGACCACGTGGAAGACAAAAAAACAGATAGGTAGACAGAATCAACAAAGATGCAATAGAGCAGCATGCAGATAACTGGAAAGAAATAATCCAAGATAGGCAGAAATAGAGCAGGCTTTTTAAGACAGCAAAAGATCTACATGGTCTGTAGTTGAGGCAGAAAAAAAAAATCAGAAACCTGCTACCTTAACAAATATGATACAGCATAAATAGTTTCGGTTAAGAAAAGCAATATAACAATAGGAATGATAAACTATTAACAGTAAAAATAAAATAATAATATGTAGGTGAAAATTATAGCCTAATAACATGTAGGTAGAATAAACTTAGCATTAAAAAATAAGTGGAGAAGCAGAAATATGAATATAAATAAAAGAAATATAAAATAACGATAACAAAGTTAGGAATAGAAAGTAGCAGAAGCAAAGTTAGTATGTTTGCCAACATACAACAAATTGTATATAACTTAATGGTAACAAAGTTAGGAACTTATGAAAAAAATAATAACAGCGACAGAGAGAAATTTATGAAATAAATATTGAAGGAAGCTAGTCGACTGTTCTACTTTTAGTTAAAATAAAAAAGTTTGTTAAAAGACCACATTCTGAATATTTATCACCCATGATATGAAATAAATAATAACGGCAACAAAGTTGGGGCTAATAAAATAAACATAATGAAATTAGGTAATAAAAGAAATGAAACACGAATTAACAAAGAAATATAAGATATAGATATAAGATAAAAACGTAAGTGCTAGACATAGAATAAGTGGGGTAGTGTAGTTGCTAATAGATGATGTTTTAATATGCTAAAAGGAAGAGAGATTGACTTAGAATTAAATGTAAAACAGAGAAAAGGAATATGAAGTTATATAAAGAAAATAATAGATGTAAATAGAAAAATTAATAGATTTTATTTCTATTGAAATAAAAATAAATAACGGAAGGAGATGGTCCGGGGTCATAAATTCATAAAGGTCCGGCAGTCATAACTAGGCTAAATATTGGTAAAACTATTTTATTAAAAGCCAGCCAAGTTTTAACACTATTTAGCCTATTTATGACCACCACCCTGGACCATCTCCTTCTTTTACACTAGCGGATCCAGGATTTATTTTTGGAGGGGCTTCAGCCCGAAATATTTTTTTTTCATAAAAATAACGATAATTACTTTGGAAAAAAAGAAAGAAACTAACTACCTGTATGAAATGGTGTTTAAGTTATTCCTAAAGCCTTTTTAAATGTAATTACACGAATATAATACTTTAAGAGATACTTTTTTAATATTTTATTCGATAAAACATGGTTATATTTTACCATTTGGGGGGGCTTCAGCCCGAAAGCCCCCCTCCTTCCCCCCCGTAGATCCGCCTGTGTTCCTTTATAATGCAATGGTCAACTATTAAATATTCAAAAATATATAACAATTGATTTAATCTTTTATTGAAAATAACTAGTAATAAATTATCTAATATTAGAAATAGGTCTAAAGTCCTGCAAACAATAGTCAATGCTCCTTATTATGTTCCAAACGGAAATCTACATCATGACCTTAACAGCTCTTATCTCCTTGACGTTATTCTATCCTGATTCTCAAATTTTCATCAAAACCTAATCCACCATCTTAATCCCTTAGTACAATCCTTATCCAGCTCCAGTCATCCCTACAATTCTCCTCGAAGGTTGAAAGGGCAATGGTTTGAGATCTTTTTTTAAATATGTCACTGGATTCCTGGCAATGGATTCCAACTTCTCCCTCAAGTTATGGGCATATGGACTTTAGCTCCCTGTCTCAGTCTCTACTGGACTCCATCCCAATGACATGGCTGAGAGAGAAGCGCTGGGATCTCTTATGTACTTCACATGTGAGGAAAAGGGCCAGATTCAGAGCTCCATTTATTAAATGTTTATCAAGTTTTCTTTTTTTTTTGGCTAATTTTTAAAGCGAGAGGGGAACTCTTCAATCTAAATTACCAGCTGTGGCAGGATAAAAAATGAAATTGTTCTTTGTGCAATATGAATGCACTGGAAGATAACTTTCATTTTATATCGGTATACCCAATACTAAAAGAGTTCAGAAGAGCATTTTTAGGTATGCATCAACTAAATTTTATGGAAACGATAAAACTTTTAAATGGCCCAAACTACAGAAATCTTTATTTGTATTTAAGAACATCCACTAATTATAGATTTGAATTAGTGAGAGAATATAATTTAGAATAAAAGGTATCTAAGTTTATGTTCATGTATATTTGTACATTATGTA